CCCCACACTAAGCCCCTCCACACTTGGATCCTGCCTTCCTGAGCCTGCCTGCCCCACCCTGGTGCGCCTGGCACGGAGGGGCAGGGCCCTGGGGTGTTTCTGGGGCAGGCCCAGTCCTTGCGCTGTGTCCGGGTTGGGTGCAGCCTCACCGCTGAGTGTGTGTCCTGGGGGGAGGTGCACAGTGATCTCCCACCTCTGTGCAGCCAGGGCCTGTGCTCCTCAATGCCATGCTGGAGCCTCCACATTGATCTGACAAATAACATTTGCAGAAATTTAAAATGCTGTGCGTGGAATTTTTATATTTTTGGAGCAGAATTTTTAATGTTTTTCACTGTTTACCCCTTTTTCCAGACCATTTATGAATATGTTGAACAGCCCTCATCCCAGCACAGACCCCTGGGGGACACCACTATTTACCCCTCTCCATTTATTCCTACCCTTTGTTCCCTATCTTTTAACCAGCTACCAATGCATGTGAGGACCTCCCCTCTCATCTCATGACAGTTTACTTTGCTTAAGAGCCTTTGGTGAGGGACCTTGTCAAAGGCTTTGTGAAAGGCCAAGTACACTATATGCACTGGATCACCCTTGTCCACATACTTGTTGACCCCCTCAAAACCATGTTGATTCTTCCCCAACAAATCATGTTCATCTATGTGTCTGACAATTCTGTTCTTTACTATCGTTTCAACCCGTTTGCCCAATACTGAAGTCAGGCTTACCGGCCTGTAATTGCTGGGCTCACCGCTGCAGCCCTTTTTAAAAATTGGTGTCACATTAGCTATTCTCCAGTCATTTGGTACACAAGCTGATTTAAATGATAGGTTACAGACCACAGTTAGTAGTTCTGCAATTTCACATTTCAGTTCCTTCAGAACTCTTGGGTGAATCCCATCTGGTCCTGGTGACTTATTGCTGTTTAGTTTATCAATTTGTTCCAAAACCTCCTCTAATGTCACCTCAATCTGGGACCATTCCTCAGATTTGTCATCTAATAAGAATGGCTCAGGTTTGGGAATCTCCCTCACATCCTCAGCTGTGAAGACCAATGCAAATTCATTTAGTTTCTCTACAATGCCCTTATCCTCCTTGAGTGCTCCTTTAGTATCTCGATCGTCCAGTGGCCCCACCACAGGGATGTTAAATTTAATTATATTATGCTCACTATTACCAAGTGGCCCAGGTATTTTCACCTCTTGGACCAGATCCTGTGCTCCACTAAGGACTAATCAAGAATTGCCTCTTATCTTGTGGGTTCCAGGACTAGTCATTTAAGGTGTCAAGAAACTATCTCTGCATCCCGCCCCGTCCTGAGGCGACATGTACCCAGTCAATATGGGGATAACTGAAATCCCCCATTATTATTACTGATTTTTTAATTTTAATAGCCTCTCTATCCACCCTGAGCATTTCACAGTCACTATCACCATCCTGGTCAGGTGGTCAGTAGTATATCCCTACTGCTATATTCTTATTATTCGAGCATGGAATTACTATCCATAGAGATTCTGTGGTACAGTTTGGTTCATTTAAGATTTTTACTTCATTTGATTCTATGTTTTCTTTCACATATAGTGCCACTCCCCGACCAGCACGACCTGTTCTGTCCGTCTGATATATTTTGTACCCTGCTATTTCTGTGTCCCATTGATTATCCTCATTCCACCAAGTTTCTGTGATGCCTTTTATATCAATACCCTCATTTAATACAAGGCACCCAAGTTCATCCATCTTATTATTTAGAATTCTAGCACTGGTATATAAGCACTTTAAAAACTTGTCACTTTTTAGCTGTCTGCCATTATGTGATGTAATTGAATGGGACTTTCTTTCATTTGACTCTCTCTCATCAGATCCTACCTGTATTTTATCATCTTCCATCCTCTCTTCCTTAGATCCTCTCTCTGTCCGAACCATGTGTTCCTCAGTACCTGTCAGCTTCCCCCCAGCCCTTAATTTAAAATCTGCTCTACAACGTTTTTTAACCCTGCCCCCAGATTCCCCAAGCACCTCTCTTAGCACGCACTGCCATCAGCCCTAGGACCTCCCATTCCCCTACCATCCCTCTCATTGTCCTAGCCCCCACGACCTCACCGCCCAGAACACCCCCCCC